ATATATATATATATATAATATATATATATATACGTTGATATGTGTGTACATCTGTACCTGTTGAATGAGTTTATTGGAGTAAAGCTCAAGGGCCGTTTTTTTCCTGGCGATGAGAGTATAGGTCAGAGGTTGGGTGAATTTGGGCATGTCCAGTTCGTTGTGTCCGAAGCGCCTGTAGCCGACGATATCGACGAAGACATCGTGCTTGAATTTTTGTCTAAATTCGAGGGCCAATTCGCATGCAAAAGAAACGGCTTCGGGGTCATCTGCATTGACGTGCAGAATTGGGGCTTCCACAGCTTTTGCAATATCTGTGCAGTATTTCCCTGAGCCCGCGTCGACGGGATTCGTTGTAAAGCCTATTTGGTTGTTCACAACAAGATGTATAGCGCCTCCTACGCAATATCCGGGCAAGCTGCTCATCTGCAAAGTCTCGTATACCACCCCTTGGCCTGCGAGAGATGCGTCGCCATGTACAATGATAGGGAGAACTAGCGAGCGTTCTGAGTCGCGGCGGAAGTACTGCTGCGCTCGGGTAAGACCCAAAACCAGCGGGTCCACTGCCTCTAAGTGAGAAGGGTTCGGAAGGACGCACATGTGGATATTTCGCTGCAAATCACGATCAAATAAGTCGAACTCGACACCCAAATGGTACTTTACATCGCCAGTATTCCCCCACTCGCTGCCACCGTACCCGGAAACACCCTGAAACTCGCTCAGAATCTGTTGCATCGGTTTATGTAAAACATTTACCAGCACGTTCAACCGACCCCGGTGCGCCATGCCAATAACGACAGACTCCAAGCCCGAAGCCACTGCTCGCTTCGTTATGGCCTTCATACCGACAATAAGGGTTTCACAGCCATCAAGGCCGAATCGTCGGGTCGTGGAAAACTTGGTGGCGCAAAAGTTTTCAAATAACTGCGCACGGGCAAGTCGTGCTAGAATCTTCCGTCTGCTTTCCCGGCTAAACGCGTACGCTTGATCGGTTTCTAACCGCTGCCGTAAAAAGTTGCATGCATTAGAATCGGATATATGCATATATTCGACACCTAAGCTGCTGCAGTATGTTTCTTGCAGCCGCTTCAGCAAGTCTCGCAGTCGCCGCGGAGGAGACGCTGGGGATAAAAAACCCTGCATGCCCGGTACCCGTGTCACAAAAACCTTCTCCAAGTCTGCTGCAGTAAATCCATAATGCTCCGGCGCCAGATGTAGCGGCTGCTGTGCAGCCCTCACAGAGCAATACGGTGGCTTTCGAGGCAAGCAAAGAGGATCTATAGAAGCCAACTCATGGCCGCGTGTTTGATAGCCGCGCACCATCTGAATCAGTCGAGATGTGTCGTGTACAGACTGCGGAGCATCTTCATACAAGGCCAGCAACCCGCTGCCCTCAGCAGCAGTACCGGCACTCTCCCCCAAGTCTGTGCCCCCTCCAGCAGCTCCTCCTATGGCTCCCCCGGTTGCTCCTCCTCCTCCTGCCCCGGGAGGGGAACTGACGCTGACGGAAGAAGCTGAAGGGACCCCCAATGCCTTCAGCCCGCCGATGCCAACAGCGCCTGAGGCGCCAGCACCTGCTGCCTCCCCTGCTGCTCCTCCTCCTGCTGCAGCTGAGTGCTGCAGAGAAGGCGGAGGCACGAAACACAAACTCGGGGGCATACCAGCCTCCAAGTTGGCGAAGTAAGCAGCCCACGATGCATGCACGGAAGAAGGATCCCGCCTCCATGCTATCAGCATCTGCTCGGCATAGGAAGCACCTGTTCCTGATAAGAAACCATCTGATCCTGCATCTGCTCCTGCTCCTCCCCCTCCACCTGTTGAACCTGAGGATGCTGCACCTGAGAGTCGTGCAGCTGCGGCAGAGAATGGGCTCCGCCTGCTGCTGCTCCCCTTGTTGCTCATCCCATATCCACTGCCACTCAATATGCTGCTAGTGCTGCTGCTGCTCGCGCAGCGGGACTGCTGATGAACGTGCCACGGAGGATGCAGGAAAAAGGAAGGGCTTGTGCAGCTGCTGACCTGTGCAGCCGATGTCGTTGTTGTTGCTGCTGCGGTTGCCGAACCGGCTGCTGCTGCTACTGCTGCTGAGGTGCTGTCTGTTGCCCCAAGAAGCACCACACGATGTGCCCGGCTAAGATACTGCCTCCGCCTGAGCTGCTGCAACAGCAGCAGCGACTTCACGGCAGCTGCACACATCTGCGACTGCTGTCGTTGCTTCTGTTGTCCCTTATGCTGCTGCTGTTGCTACGCGCCACACGATGCACGCAGCACGCACAACTATGCCCCGGCCACCTGCGTAGCAGTAGCGGCGGCAGCAGCGGCGAGAGCGGCAGCAGCAGCTGCTGCTGCTGCGGGATTGATGAGACAGAGATAAAAACGCTGTGAATGAGTTAGACTGGGAAAAGGGAGTGGGACTGGGCGAAAGGGAAGCAAGTTGTTGCCGTTGCTCCTCCCACTGCTGGTCCCGCTGTTGCAACAGGCTGCTCGCGTTGCAGCTGACGATGACGATGATGGGTTTTATGAAGCGCTTGAGCAATGACAGCGTCCATATGAACACTTAGCAACAATAACAGCAGCAAAGAGAGGCCTTCTGCCCCCCTGGGGCGCCTGCGCAGCTGTTGCTGTTGCTGCTGCTGGAACAGCAGTTGCTGCTGGCCCGGCTGCTGCTGTTGCCGCTGCTGCCGCCGCTGCCGATGCTATGCAGGGTTACAGCAGGGGAAAGATATTTCTTGTTTAAAGGAGACTTCGTGATGCTTGTTTTTATTCGCGGAAGCTGCTGCTGTGTGCTGCTGCGCGAGGTGTAACGGACCCGGGAGGGGGCAGCAGCAGCATCTGCTGCTGCTGTTGCTGCAACTGCTACGGTCGCCGCCCCAAGGATGGAGCGACCTTGCATGCAGCAGCAGCAGCAGCAGCAGCCTCAAGTTATGCAGCAACAACACACAGAAAACACTAAGGCCATTCTGTCTAGCAGCATCTGCAACCCCACAGATTGGTGCTCCGTGCTGCTGCGGCTGTTGCTGCAGCAACAGCAGCAGCAGCAACGTAACCTACACCGAGAGTCACTTGGTGGCTGCTGCATCCTTGTCTAGCCAGCAGAAGCAGCAGCAGCTACCGGCCTGCCCCAGGCCCTCTTTTCTTTGTACAGCAGCATCAGCAGCAATAGCAGCAACGGCAGCAAAGACTGCAACCACAGTAGGGGCAGCATTTGTTGCCGTCACTGCAGCTGCAGCCGCCCCGAAGCATCCCCAGTGTCTCTCGCAGCAGCTGCTGCAGCAGGCTGCAGCCGCTCCGAGCTTATGCGCCACCGAGCCAAGCAGCAGTAGGGACAGTAGCATCAGCAGCAACAGCAGGGACGGCAGCTGCATCAGCAGCAACACCGGCGGCGGCAGCGGCAGCAGCAACAGCAACAGCAGCAGCAGCAGCAAACAGGGCGGCTGAGGTGCGGCACCTGCTCCACCGAGCCCGCAGCCGTAGCACTAGCAGCAGGCGCCGCAGTAACAGGAGGAGCAGCAGGATGAATGTGGGCAGCAGCACCAACAGCAGCCGCGTCCTCATGGACCGCGCCACCTTCTTTTCGTCTCTCTCCGCATTCCACTCGGAGAGGGGACAGACCCTGGCTCCAGACCCACTCCTGGGGGTAGGCTCCTTTAGCGGCTCATCAGCAGCGGCAGCAGCAAGGGAACAACACATCTTTGACGCTCACCTGCAGACATTGAACAGCAGCAGCCGCTGAAGCCATAAAAGGGGATTGAGCAGCAGCCCTTCCCACAGCACTGATAACAGCCTTATTGGAACTACCAGAAGCACCAACACTAGCAACAACAACCGCAGCAGGAGTAGGAATGTGTCTGTATGTATGTATGTATGTGTGTGTGTGTGTGTGTGTGTGTGTGTGTGTGTGTGTGTTTGTGGATGTGTGAAGGTGCACGTGGACTTGTACGACATGTTTGTCGTGGCGATGGAGCAAGGAGGCTTCCCGCGAATAAACAAAAACAATAAGTGGAGTTTCTTAGGGAAACAACTCGGAGTCATTCCGAAGGATAAGGCTGCCTCACAACACGAGGTCGAACAGGTCAGCTTATGCAGGAGATGCTGCTTCCGCTGCTGGTGGTGGTGGTAGTATGGCTACCCCTGGTGTTGCTGGTGCTACTGCTGTTGCCATTGTTGCCGCTGTTGCCTTTGCTTTGGTTGTGGCTGCTAGTCGCTGCTGCTGCTCTCGGTTCTGCTGCTCCTGCCGCCGCCGCCGCGGGTTACGCTTAAATGGTAGCTCGCTGTTCTGGGCTGTAGAGCAGCTGCCGTTTGCACATCAGTTGCTGCTGCTGTTGTTGATGTTGCGATCATAAGCCCACAATGATAGATGAACCATGGCAGTGACAACATCTGCTGCCTTCACAGTAGCAGCAGAGGCATTGGCAGCAGGACGTAGGACGCATAGCAGCTGGAGCAGCAGCAGGTGGGATGCAAGGGTGCTATTTGTTTGAAGTATATGTACACCGTGGGTGCTCAGGTTAAGCGCTTTTATGTACGATGGATTCGGCAGTTTGAAGGAGAGAAGATTTCTCCTGAACTCCGGAAGCAACTGCAGCCGTTGGGGGCAGATGCTGCTCGGCGAGCTGCTGCTGCAGCACCGGCGGTTGGATCTTACCCTGCTGCTGCACCATATTCTTCTGCAGCTGCAGCTGCAGCAGCAACCAGCCACACCAGCTTCATGCAGCAGCATGGTGTTGGCCCCTCCATGCACCCTTTGCGACATCAGCAACACCATATGCTGCCGCAGCCGCAGCAGCTGCAGCAACTACAGCAGGAGCAGCAGCATTGGAAGGGCATCGACTCCGATAACAGCAGCAGCAAAGTCAAGGCAGAGAAGCGAATGCAGCTTCTGCAGAAGCATGCAGCTGTAGATGTCTTCAGGCTAATGAGGAGAAGGGACAGGTTTGTCACACTGGGGATCATTGGCCATACTGAACTACTGCTTAGCATTGGGCCTTAGGGTTCACGATTTACGGATTAGGGTTTAGGGCTTCTGCTTTGTTCAGGCTTGCTGCTAAATACTCTCCCGAAGCGGTGGCTGCGCGCATGGCAGCCCGCGAGCGGCGGCGGCATCTTGTGGAGTCGGGGCAGCTAGGGCCGGCGACAGGCAAGGGTTTTAGGGTTTAGGGATTAGGGTTTGGGGTGAAACTGCTTGTGTTGCTGCTCGCACAACTGCTGTTTGAATTGACTGGAGTTGATGCTACTGGTGACTCATCATTGCCCTTATTTCCTGGCTTCGTCGCTGCTTCTGTTGTTGCTGCTCCTCCTCCTTAGATGTGCGGCGTCTCACCCAGAGTCTGGCAGACCGCCGCTACGCCCCTGGGGATTTCCCTTTTGCTATTAATTGCCTGTATTACCTCTCGCGGCCCCTCAGGGGTATCTCTATAGAACAGGTAATTACAAGCGGCAGGAGCAGCGGCTGCAGCGGCGGGAGGAGCTGGAACCGGGCCGCACACTGCTGTCTTCATTGAATACTGCTGCGGTGCTGCAGTCTCTGCTGTGGAACGCGTTGGTATTGAGATCAGCACGTCGTCTGTTATTGCTTGTGCTGCTGCTTTGCTGCTGCTGCAGCATCCTGGGTTGCTGTACGAAGTGAGCCTGCTGTTGGAGGAAGCTGCTGCTTCATGCAGGGAGCGCCTTCTCTCTCTACATCAACCGAGCGCTCCTCCTGTAGATCTTCCGCTGCTATTTGGCTGTATATACAACTTTGCAGCAACCGCAGAAGAACGAGCAGCAGCAGCAGTAGCGCCGCTGGACCCGATGGACTTGCTACAGCCAGAGCTGTTGCAGCTACCCGGCGCTCCCTGGGCGGCAGCAAACAGCAGCAGCAGCAGCGGTAGCAAGCTTGGTCCCCTCCTTGCGCTCCATGCCCTACAGCTAGCCAGTGCTGTCTCCGCAAATTTGCTGCTTCCTGTCGAAAACAGACTCAGCCTTGCCGGCTTTACGAGGGCCTCCCTAGGGCCGCTGCTGCTGGCCGCTGCTGCGATACAGCGCAGCAACAGCAACAGCAACAGCAACAGCCACGCGACTGCGGCGCTAGAAGCTGCAGCAGCTGCTGCTGAAGAAGCAGAAGACCTCGTTGACAGTGATGCAGACTGGATAGATCAGGAAGAGGAACAAGACCATTCAAGCGAGGTACTTGCATTATGTCTCAACGCTTAGCGTTTAGCTTTCAGGGTTTGGGCTTTAGGGTTTAGGGTGTAAGGTGTAGTGTTTGGTGCGTTCGCAGGTTGGCGGGGCCTTGACGCGGCAAGGCCGAGTCTTTCGCCGCCCGGAGTCGCCAGTGGAGGCGTCGCCTCGGCCGTCTCTGCCAGGCGTCACCAGCAGCGGCAGCGGCGGGAGCAGCAGCAGCAGTACTGGGGGGTTCCCTGAGTGTTGGGGCGGCCCACTGAAGGAGCAGCGGCTGAAGGAGGAGGGTGAGAGCTTGAAGGCTGCTGCGGCTGCGCTGTTGTCGGCAGTGGACTGTGTTGCTGTTGCTGCCCTGCGGGCGGAACGTCTAATTGGAGCAGCAGCGACGCGTGCAGCCGCCGCTGCAGCGAGGGCATCAGTGGCTGCATCGGCCTACTCTCCAGCAGCAGGAGAAACTCCAGCAGCAGATCCTGTTGCTGCAGCAGAGGCGTTTGTGAAAGCATCAGCGGCAGAACTTCTGCAGGGCCTGATTGACGAAAAGGAAGCCGCACTTTACAGCTCTGCACCGGCAGCAGCAAGGGGAGATCATTCCTCTCCTGTGGAGGCCTTAATGAGCTACAGCACTAGGTGGGAGCTGCGGCAGCTGCTGCAGCTGCAGACCATGCTCGGTCTCCAGACACCGGATTCGCAGCAGCCACAGCAGCAGCGACAGTCGAAGAGGGGAGCGTTCGCTGACGTAGCAAACACTGCAGTAGCAACTGCAGCGGGAGCTAAACGGATGCGAACAGAGGAGGAAGAGGCTTTCGCGGCGAGTCGTAGCGGCAGCCCCACACCAAAAGCAGCAGCAGCTTCTGGAGCAGCAAGGATAGAAGCAAGCACAGACACGCCGCTTGTAAATACGCCCCGCGCTGTCGCTGCTTCTCTGCCACCTCCAACGCCGACTCAGAACTTTCTCTTCGGGCTCCCTGCCGAGCCTCCTGCTGACACACTGCAGCAGCAGCAGGAAGAGCAGCAACAGAAACAACAGCAAGAGACTCCAGCAGGGGCCTCCCGGGTGCAGGGCGGCCACAACAAGGCACATCGGGCAGTGCAGCAGCAGCAACGCAACAAAATGTTAGACCCGAGGGGCGCCCCGCCTCCTAGTGCTGCTGTAGCTGCTGCTGTGCTGCAGCAGCAGCTACAGGTGCCGCCTTCCTCCGTCGCCGTGCTGCTGCAGGATGCCACAGAGTTCGTCGTCGTGCATATGCAGCAGCCCCAGCAGAAGCAGGCTACGCCTAGTGCTGCTGGCGGGTCGAGGTACACATCGCCGCGGACGAACTGCAGCTACAGCGGTGGAGGCAACTGCAACAGTGACGCAGCAGCTGCTGGTGCTGCATCAGAAGGAGACACTGGGGTGTCGGCGAAGGCCATCGCTGACGCGTTGCAGCAAGCTCTGCAGAGCATTTCTCGGCCACAGCAGATGCAGCTGATGAGCAGAGCGGCGGCAATATTCAGGGCGTGCGGCCTGCATGTAGACAGTAGCAGCCGGCGCATTTTCGTGGTGCTGAGGCTGCTGCAACAGCTGGGGCCTCCTTTTGCATCTGCCCTCACTCCACTTGTTAGCAGGTTGGGTGAGCAAATTGTTGCCGAAGAAGAGGCTGCAGCTGATGCTGCTGCTGCTGTGGGGCCGTACACTAGCCTGGGTGCTTCTGCAGCAGCAGCAGCAGCAGCAACAACGCGGCAGCAGCAGCAGCAACAGAGACTGCAGCAGATGCTGTTCCTTGACTTCGCGTCAGAAGCGGAGGCTCTTTCGCCTTTTCTCTCAACAGCAACGAGCGCGGCAAAGGCATTCTCTGCAATTGTGTCACTGGTACGAAGCAGCAGCAACAGCATCACCACCATAGTCTGCAACCGCACGAACAGGACGAAAATTGGTGCATAGAGCAGCAGAACAATCGTAAGAATGAGCACCGCCAGCAACCACAGCAGAAACATTTCGTTCATTTGTGCATGCGCTACTTCCGCAGCTGCCTCCTTCTCCTTCTGTGTGCCCTGGTGTCTCGTGGAGTTCGCGTGCTGGCAGTGATCAGCAGCAGCAAGATAAGCTGCAGCAGGGGAAGAGACAGAAGCAGCGTGAGCATGAGCAGCAGCAGCCGGAAGAATCATGGATAGGTCTCGCCGCTGCTGCGTCGCTTGCGCGGCTGTTGCGAGGCCTCCAGGCTGAAGCGGGGCTCCGCCTCCCCAGGTGTCTTCTTAGTGCCAAAGGTAACGGGGAATGCTGCTGTTGCTGCTCCTGGGATCACTTTGCTGCTGTTGGTTCTACTGCCGTTCGTCATGCTGTAGCTGCTGCTGCTGCGACTGCTGGTCATGTGGCCGCTGCTACTGGGACTTTCGTAGGTGCCACTGTGGCTGCTGCAACTGTTTGCCCTGACATGGCTGCTGCTGGGGCGGCAGCCGTGCCAGCTGCTCTTGCAGCTGGTGCTACTGTGACTATTGCTGCTGCTGGTGCGACTGCTGCTGTTTGCGCTGGCGTCTCCTCTAGTTCACCGCTGCGCTACATCATCTGCAGCGCAGGTTATTGCTGCTGTTGCCATAACGCACCAGTTTTTCTATTGCTGTCCATTGCTGCTTGGGGCAGCTGCATCAGTCTGCCGCTTTTTCTGTTGGTGGTGATGCGTGCAGGCTTTCAGTTTCTGCAGGCGGCATTTGAATGTGCTGCTCAGTTGCTCCTTTTCAGACAGTCGGTGTGTCTACCGCAACAGCACCGGCAGCAACAGCACCTCCAGCAGAATCTGCCCCAGCAGCAGCTGCGATGGCAGCACTGTTAACCTAATTACCCTACAGTACAGCAGCACCACCTGCATAAGAAGTAACTTGCAGCAACAGCCAATGCAACAGCAGAAACCTACAGCAGCACGGCCTCTGGCAGCAGCAGTGCTTGTGGCTGCAACACTTGTGGGAGGTTATGTCGGGGCTAATTCATATACTGAGGAGTGCTGCTGTTGTGCTGCGGCAGGTATTAAAACCCCATATGGATGTATTTTTGTCTGTGGCCGCCGCGGTTCTGCAAATTGAAGTGGAGTTGCCGCGTCTGAGGATCCCCCGGTCTCTCATTCGTGGTACGCTGGTGCTGCTGTTGCTGTTCTGCTGCGGCAGCTTGTGCCGCTGTTACTCCTGTGGCAGATGTGGATGCTATGCTGTTGTTGTGGGTTTGCTGCAGCAACACTATCGTTTTTATACCTTACGTGCACCGCTCCCCCGCGGCTCCTGCTGTCGTGTCTGGAGGCGCTCGTGCAAGCGCATGGCACCCCAGGAGCAGCTACAACAACAGCAGCAGGTGACGCAGCGGCAGGAGCAGCACAGGACAGCAAAGACCAGGTTGCGGATTCCCCTGTTGAGGGTTTGCCGAAGGCTGCTGCTGCGGAAGCAGCAGCTAAACTCTTCTTGACGCCCTTACTGAGATACATTCGGCACAAGATGGTATTATTTCACATCCTGCCGCTGCTGCGGAGTCAACAACACGTGCAACTGCTGCTCCTTGGGCCGCTGCTGACGTCTTGCCCCATTTGTTTATATCTATTAGTTCTCGTGCTGCAACTGCATCTCCAGTTGCAGTGGCTGCTGAAGCCTAGTTGCCATGCTTTATTATCTGGCGCTACTGTTACCACGTGTGCTGCTGTTGCTTCTGCGGTTGCTGCTATCTTCTGCTGCAGATGGAAGCAGCACGTTTGTCTGCTCAGGAGGAGCTGGCGGAGGTGATCGGCCCTGCATGCACGGGGTCTGCTGCCGCTTCTGCAGCAGCCGCAGCAGCAGCAGCGTCTGCCTCTCACGACTTCAGCAACAGCAACAGCAGGTTGCCGGAATGTGCAGCAGCAACAGGGTCTGCGCATGCACCAGGTGACATGCAGCCTGCTGCTGCTGCAGAAGCTTGGCTGCAGCGCGGTGCTACTGTTCGTCTGGCACGTTCGGCGACACCTCGACTGCCACCGCAGCAGCAGCTTGCTGCTGCTGCTGCTCCTTCTTTGCTGCTACCTGCTGAGGAGAGGCAGCAGATAGCAGCAGAAGCGATTGCTGCCGCAGCAGCTTCTGGGCTGCGCACCAGCCGCAGTGCAGCACACGGGGGGCAGTCTCATACAACCGACGCTGAAGGCTTAGAGGAGACCGTTAACAGGATGCTACCGCGACGAGACACTCGGGGGCCTCGTTCTGCTGCTGCTGCTGCGTTGGACCCGCTGGTGACGCAACAGCACCACCTGCAGCAGCAGAAGCAGCAGCAGCACTTCCTGCAGCAGGCACAGCACCAGCAGCCTTTCGCTCATCCAAATCACCAGCAACACCCGCAGCAGCAGCAACAACAACCGCAGCAGCAGCAGCCGCTGCCACCACGGGAAGGACCAGTGCCAGTACAGCAGGGAGCAGGCCCATCTGGTGTGCAGCTAACGGGACAGACGCAGCATGCAGAGGAGGATGAGCAGCAAGATGCACAGCCCGTACAGCAGCAGCTGCTGCAGCATCAGTTTCCTCTTCACCAGCAGCAGATGACACCATCGCAGCCCCCACTTGTACAGCAGCACCTACCTCTGGGGGTGGTGACGCAGCAAGGTGTGAGCCTTCCTGTTCTTCCGCAGCAGCAGCAGCAGCAGCTGATGCATGCGCAGCAGCAGCAGCAGCAGCAGCCTATGCAGCCTCAGCAGATTCAGCAACAGCGTCAGCAACTGCAACAACCGCACATGCAGCAGCAGCTGCTTCAGTCTTCACCGATGGGGGCTCCATCGTTTTCACCTGTTCCTGTGGATATTCACCAACAGCAGCTGCAGCACATGCAGCTGCAGCAGCAACATATACTGCAGCAGCAGCGCCTTCCGTTCTCGAGCCCACCAATGCAGCAGCCAATGCAGCAGCAAGTGTTGCAGCCACAGCAGCAACACCGCGTGGTGCCACCACAGCAGCCCATGCTGCCGCAACAGAACCTGCAGCAGCAGCAGCCATTTCATTTGACACAAGAGGACATGCAGCAGGCGCACATGCAGCAGCAACACCTGCTGCCGCAGCACCCCCAGCACCACCAAGAGCAGATAGAGCAACAGCAACAACAGCAGCAGCAGGACAGCGAAGCCACCAGACCCCCACTTGCTTTTGACTACTCGCAGCAACTCGGGGCAGCGCGGCCTCCTTCCCCGACGCTGGGCCCAGCAGGTACACCAACTGAGCAGCAGCAGATGCAACAGCAGCAAGTGCAGCAACAGCAGATACAACAACAGCAGATGCAGCAACAGCAGCAGCAGATACTACTGCAGCAGCAGCTCCACCAACAGCAGCAGCAATTGCAGCAGCAGCAGCCGGCGTGGCTGCAGCAGCAGCAGTTTCAGAGTGCGTCTCCTTCGCAAGCTGTAGGCCAAGTACAGCAGCAGCTGCAGCAACGGCGTGGCATGGCACCGTTGCAACAGGTTCAGCAGCGGCAGTCCCGGCAGCAGCAGTTTGTGATGCAGGGAAATCAACAGCAGCAGCAACAGCAGCAGCAGCAGTCACCTGCTCCTGCGCATTTGCAGCAGCACCATCGGCCGCAACCGCATCAGCAGCAGCCGCTACAACAACAACAGCAACAGCCACAGCAACTGCAGCAGCAACCCCAGCAGCAGCAGCAGCCACCTGTTTTTCGGCAGCAACAGAAGCTGCTCCAGTCACCGCACCCGGTGGCACATCGCGCAGCACCAACAAAGTCAACAGTAGCAGGAAGCACCATAGCAGACACCCTAGGTAACTCGACGGGGACGCAAGGGGCATCAACACCAGCAGCAGGAACGGGAGCAGTAACAGCCTCAGCTGCAGCAGGGCGAAAAGCCACATCAGGGACCACGTCGGGCACGCCATCACCCACAACAGCAGCAACAGCAGCAGCAGTGGCAGATTGGGATGATCAAGAGAGCGAAGGTGAAGAGGAAGAGTCCGTCAACGACACGACAGCTGTTGCTGTTGGCTGCATTGGGGCTTTAGCAGCAAACCCGCAACTGCTGCCTTTGCTGCGGCCTCACCTTCCACTGTTAACGGAGGTGCGCCCTCTTGCCGCCGCCGTTGCTCCTGCAGCTATTGCTGCAGCGTTGCTGCTGCGGCTCGTTTGTGTTTCTCTTCGTTGTGTTGCTCTTGCAAGCGTTGCTGCTGTGTTTCTGCTGCTGCTGATGCCGTCGCGACACCTCTTGCGAAGCTGTGCTTACATCGTGCCTGAGAGGTAATCCCGCTCGTCCTTGCTGTCTTCGTCCTTGCTGTTGAACTGGCTATTGCAGAAAGTGCTGCGTGGGGCGCGCTCTAGTTGTTGCTGCTGCTGTTTCTGGTGCTGCTGCTGCCTGTGCTTCAGCTAGCTTGGCTGCGGACGCCTTTTAGCGGTACTTTGTGGGCTGTTGTGGGAGAGTTGCTGCTACCTGCAATAGAGCAACAACACCAGCACCAACAGCAGCAGGAACAGCAGCGGCAACAGCCGAGTGTCTCACCAGCAGCGCTGAAGGCGTTGGCAAACCTTGGGGGCTTCCAAGAGTACTTGAGCGTCCTCAAGGTAGTCACAAAACCGTGAGGCTGCAGCAGCAGCTCCACGTAGCGCGAGCTGCAGCAGCGCCAGCAGGAAGAGGAACACCAGCAGGTGCGTACGCATACGCATTTTTGCTGGATTGGAGCGTGCACGTTGCCGCTATAGCAGTAGCGGCAGCAGCAGTAGAGGCCCTATGCTGGTGTGGCTGCTGCTGCGAGGACAGCACCCAGGAATGGGGCGATGGGGGATTATGTGCGGCATTTTGGCGCATTAGCAAAAGGACAAGAGAGTGCAGCAAGCCAAGGAACACTTGGTGCTGTTCTTGGTTCCAGTGCAGCAGCTGCTGCAGCATAGGTAGTAGCAGTTGACCAAAACGCTACTTTGCTTTCCACGGGGCATGTGGGCAGCTTTAGAGAATGGGGAGCCTCGTGCCGAGTCGGCCAGAAGCCTGCTGTTGTTGCTGTAGCTGCTGAAGTAGACGTGCCTGCTACATAGCAGCACTCGCTTTGTTTGCTGGCGTAGCAGCAGCAGCGGCAGCAGCGGCGGAACGACGATGCCTTCCTAGGGAGGTGGCGGTTTAACATCTGAGCACGAGCACCAGCAGGAGCAGCAGGTGTAGTAGTTGCTGCAGCTTAGGCAGGAGCAGCAACAGCTTCAGCAGTAGCAGCAGCAGCTTCGGCAGTAGAAGCTGCAGCACCAGCAGCTTCGGCAGTAGAAGCTGCAGCACCAGCAGCTACAGCAGCTGAGGTCCCCCCGAGTTCGTGTGGGGCAGCTGCATAGGGCTTCACATCAGAACAGTGGCCTGAGGCCTTGCAGCCTTTTCTTTTGTGGATGAGGTTTCAAGCTGTCCTTGTACAGACACCAGACTCTGTCTCTTCCCTGTTTGCTTATTCACGATTGCGTCAGTAGATCTGTCGCAGAGACACCGACTCGGGGTTTCTGTTTGCAGGTGTATGCTCCGCCGTATTTGATTCTGTGAACGTCGTTGACTTATGGAGAAGCAGATAAGCAGAGATAGCCACGCATTCTCACATACCAGCAAGAACTCCCCGGCCCTGTTCTCCTCGTCTCTGACTCTCTTTGTCTCTGTGTATTCTCCCGAGCTGCCTACTCTGTCACTCTCTGTGCCTTTTCTCCACATCCGCATTCTCGTGTGTTCAAAAGAATTCAGTGAAACACCACGCTCTCTCTCTGTGTCCCTGTGTCTCGGTAGCCTCTTGGATATTTCACGGCAGCTATCATTTTCCCACAGTCAGACTATTCTCCTCAAGCCTTTCGCCGTTCCTACCATGAGAGCTAATCTAGGCAGCCAGCCAGCGCATCAGATAACTACCCAGCCAGCTGGACATACATACAAGTTTAGCTAACTAGCTAGCTAGCAAGGTAAGGCTGGGCGCTGCATGCATACGTAACACCGGAGCCGATCAAGCCTCTGACTGTAAGGTCGTCCCGGCCGCCCCTGGGTGGAATCTGTTTGCTGTATTTCGATACTGCAATATACTAGCTAGATAGGAGTCGTACTTTTGGATCACTGGTGATAGACAATGTGGGTGAATTCGGAGCACAAGTTTTAGGCGGCAAAGAAGGAGATCAATGGTAGGGGCGGGTGTGTACCTATAGAGTTGGTGCACACCAGAGAGTCTGCTGCAACCTGTTGTTGAACTCACTGAGAACATTTTGCAACGTGGAGTCGAGCTCAACGTCCTTCCTTGACAGCGTCAATGCCCCCGCGGTTCGAGACTGCAGTCATCTAGGGTCTTGAGTTTACAGTTTAGAAGGCAGCAGTAGCAGTACCGTTGGTTCCACAACGCCTTCATATACTGTGTGCTCTTCAGCATTGCTTCCTGTTTTGGTCGTGTCCGCTCGGCTTGAGGTTCTTCTGTCTCAGTCAAGGGCAACCAAAGGAGGCAAGCAAGAGCTTGCTGCCTAACTGCTCAACAGAACTGTTCTCAAGACCCTGGAACGTGGTGTAAAGGGTAGCTTTTAGTGTGTTAGTTTGTCAAGCAGCTTGTGGGACCTCGGGGGCCCCGCGCGCCTGCTGCATGCTGTGGTCAGCAGAGGCCCTGCAGATTTCTGCCTTCTGAACTTAGCCTTGCTAAAAATTAATATGGAATTTAATTTTTATTTTGTATTCGAGAAGAAGCCACCAGGCGCTGCTGTTACCGAGCAGCCCCACACATACCCCAAGCCAGCTTCTGCCGACACGAGGCCCTGCGACCTCCTGCTGTCCGACTTAGATTTTATCGCAAATTTAAGCTGATTTTTTTGAAGAATAGAACGTTCCAGCTTCTTGCGGCACCAAAGGTCACCGTCGGCCGCTGCAGCCACAGTAAAAGCTGCAGCGGCAACAACCGTAGAAACACCGACTACTGCAGCAGCACCAGGCGAACAGGCCAGAAGCAGTAGCCCCATGCACAACAGGGGCATCAAAGGGAGTATCCGTGCAAGTTTAGAAGCTGAGGTTCTAGCTCACCAGCAACAACAGGAGCGGCTGTCGTCGCTGATGCTCCCGCTGCTGCCCCTGCTACTGTTGCCTGCATCAGCTTCCATGCATGCCTGAGCAGGCTGTTGATTGTGGTTTACGCCTGGCGCCGCAACGCGGCTGCCTGGAACGGCAGGGGTCGCCTGAGCGGGGCTTTTGGATGCGGGTTGGAAGGGGAGACATGCATATTGCACTTTGACGGAGAAGGCATGGCACAAGTCCCATGGCAAATTGTGTCACGGGGGCCCCTGGAGGCCCCTGAAGCTCTGAGGCAGCTTCGAGCCTGCTACCGAAGTGTGCGTGCTGCTGCTGCAGCTGCTGCTGGAGAAGGAGGTGCTGCAGCTTCAGCCTTGCTGCAGCATGAAGACTTGGGACACCTCAAGGCGGCTCATGCTGCACTGCGCAAGTTGCTCCAAGTAGAAGCAGCAGATACGCAGGCAGCAACAGCCAGCAGCTGCAACACATGCTTCGAGCAAGTTCGTGTCAGGTGAAGGTTCACGAGGCACCGCCCTTCAAGGCACTCTTGTACTCCTGGTCGATCTGGTGCTGCTGCACTAATTGGACTTTGCAAATGAGTTCTTATGGCTTGCTATGCATGTGGCAGGAGCAGCAGCAGGCTAGATCTGCTCATCCAGCTTATCTGAACTGAAGTATTGGGGTTTGTTGAGCGCCAGGCCCCCCCAGGCGCTTGCTTCTGTTGCTTTACGTGCTGCGGTTCCACTCGTTGGCACGTGCATGTGCTGCTGCTGGTGCTGCTGCAGGGGAACAGCAATACTGCCTCCTTCTTTCTGGCAGGTCGCTCGTCTCGGGGTGTACAGACACCTCCTGGGTTTTCTTTTCAAGTATGGCACTGAATCAGAGAATGGGCCGGAAGCTGCTGCTAAGCCTGCTGCTGTTTTGTTTGGTCGTTTATTTTGTGCTTTTGCTGGCTGCTGTCGCATTGAACATGCTGGAGGAAGTCGTTTATACACGTTTCCTGGGGCTTGATTTTTCAGGTTTGTCCCTGAGCTGGATGGGGTTTGGCTGGCCTTTACTGAGACGCGACCAGCAACGGTCAGCAGCAGCAGAAGTGGCAGCAAAAGCGGCAGCAGCAGCAGGGGGGCCCTCGGGTACCTGCTGCCGGACTTAGACAGCAACGATGGCACCGTGTTTGTCTCAGTAGAGACAACTGCCCTTGTTTTCAGGCCCAAAGTTGGAGACCTCATCAGTAAGTGCATGCAATCCAGGATTTCGTGCACTGGGGCCCCCTATACCCCGCAGATTGCCCCGCTGAAAGGCAACAGCACATTGTGCTCTTCCTAGCTGCAGTAGCATGCACACCAGCAGCAGCAACAGCAGGAGCAAGAGAAGGAAGAGCAACTGGAGGTTTTTGCGTCTGCATGGGGAGCTACGCTGCAATCTGGGGTGTATGCACACCTGGCTGTCTGTGTGATTGTGTTTGAGACGCAGCTTGCGAGGCCCAGACGGTGCGGCCGGCTGTCTTGCGGTTGCTGTGGCTGGGCCACTTCACTGCTATTATCAGCAGGGAGCACCTGGGAGACAGATTCGAGTATTTAGAGGTCAGCATGTAGCATCTTGCATGCATGTGTGCATTCATCCTGTGCACACGTGGAAAAAGGAGAGCAAACGCATCCATAGTCAGCACCATGCATATGGGTAATACTGTACTGGTCGCAGCAGGCGTTTGCGTCACAACGGCGACAAAACTGGTCTGCTTCTGCTACTGGGGGTCCAATTTGCGCTGCTTTAGCACGTTCGTGACCGACTTGCTTGCGTGGTATGAGCGCTTTAGGAAGCGAAGGTGTACGTACACCGTAAGGACAAAACTCGCCGAATTGCAGAGAAGGTCTTCGTCCGCATGCACGTTATCGAGTGAGTGGCTTTGTCGACTACGGATCCAGCATAAGTAGTAAGAGCAGCAGCTGAGGTCTGTTTTTTGCACGGCCGGGGACTGCAGGATCGCTCGAGGTGCTGCTCCTGCTGCTCCATTTTCTTCTGCACGAACGTGCTCCACGAAATGCATCAGACCCAATTGCTGCTTCATCTGCTTCCGGTTCCGCTGCTGCAGGGTTCCTAAATCGCACAATGGTGACCGCGTCGCAATACGCGGCTCGTTGTTGGCACGGGGCTCAGGGCCACTTGTTGTTGCACAGAGCGTTGAAGCAGAAGGAGTGGCGAAGACAGACGACGCACAAACAGTACTAGGATGTGGAGTAACAGACGTCGCAGACAACACTGCAGTGCAGCGTTTAAGCAAGCGGAAAGTGCACCAACATGATGCCGATGCAGCAGAAAGGGCGTCTGTCCTCAAAAAGCGCGAAAAGGCTTGTGCTGCTGCTGCTGCTGCAGCTCAAGTCAAGTCACCGAGAAAGGAAAATGGCACGAAAGGTGTTGCGACAGCGCACACGTAGTCTTTGTGAAGATTTTGGGGTCCGTTGCTGCTGCTGTGCGCGTCTGGCTTGCGTGTACACGTTTTGACAGCGACGCGTATTCCCCAGTGGAGTTCCCAAGCGGCAGACCGTCGGGAGTTGAATTTTCGAGGTTTGATGGCAGCGCGCATGCAGCGGCTGCAGTGGAATGGCCACGCTGGTAATGCGCTGGATACCTCACTGTGAAGTCACACTGCGTGAGCCTGCCATACCATCGAAGAACTCTTCCAATATCATAGTCTGGAAAATCGTTTGTCAGGTGCATCAAGGGTTAGTTATCAGTCTGAACAGTGGAGTAATTGCCGTAACCGTAATGTTGACCCTCTCTTACCTCCCACCAGACCGCGCATAGCTCTCTCCTGGGCACGGGGTATTGCTGGTCTCTCTCGGGTGAGCGGTGTGAATAGAAGGCGACACTCTGGCACGTTTTTCAGTTAATGGCTTGCTGAGAAAACATCAACGCATCTGCTGTGTCACTCGCATAAGTTGTCAAGTCGAAATCAGCGGAGGCGAGTACATGAGGTGGCGGCAATTGCTAATGAGGTTCTTGCATTTACATCGTCACTCTCCGACCAAATGAGTTATTAACTTTTTTTTTTGGATATCGTCTAGGCGGGCGGCGATGAGGGCGAAACTGTGGATGACGTTACGGTGGTACAACGCACGGTGTAACGCACAGCGGCCGTTTGCCGTGGAATCGAGTGCCGTAGTTGGAGCCTTAGGTTAGTACGATTACCCCCGCCAGCTGCCACTGTCGGCAGTGTAGCGTAATACCTAGTCACTACTTGGGCACCAGGTGGGCCTTTAGAGATCTAATTGGAAAAGAAATAGAATTACTACTATATAGGAGTATAGGAGTATTATGCCTATAAGTACGACTTTGGTGGATGGTAGTTATAGGTCAGGCTCCTGAGTGTGTCGTCACCGTTGATATCCCCCGGTCATCTTGTAGGTTGGGCACTGACACCGAGCCACGACCGGGATCGAAGCGGAACACAGTTCCTTTACTCTATGAACTCACCCCTTAGTTAACAAATGTAATTTAACATGAGTTGGAACTTGCAGCATAGACTCCTGAGGATTTGGATAGTCAGAAGTAATAGTTAGGAAGCCTGGCAGGACGAGATCATAAGTAGGCACAGCTTGGGACGGCTGCGCACTACAGAGACCCTGGCCCTCGGCGAGGGTCGGGCATCAGTATTATTATTTCTGGGTTTTCTTTCCTAACAATAATAGGGACTGGATTGTATATTTGGTTGTTAATTGTGGCTATTGGTGGTTACGGCGAGAATCGTAGATTTGGTATCTGGTTAAAGTGTGTGCACCTATTCAGCTTTGCGTGGTGGTCTCATGTAGCAACAGTGTAGACCAGCTGTTCACTACATTTGGGGGCTGTTCCGGGAAATTAAATTAAATGAAAAAACCAACGCTCTTATTTCACACAAACAACTCCAGTAGACGGACCTGGGGACCTCTGAGAGCAAGCTTCAGGGAGATAAACGCCGTGCACGTAACGGGTGGGTGATACGTGCACCTGGCCCAACATCGAGCCGAATGTCCACCTTGCGGGAATCAACGAAAACTTACTCCAATGTTGGAACCAAAAAAACCAAAGGCAACAGCCCTATGAAATGGCGAAATTAAAGCAATAAATAGAACGGCTGCAGGACTGTCTTCATCAGATGGGTGGCAGCGGTCCACCTCCTCACCAGCACCGCCTATCCCTCGAGAGAAGGGCTATAACATGCAACCGTTTTTGATATTTATTAAGCAACGGTTCTGGAAGACGGGTCTTCCATCAGAGCTCTGGGGTGACGAGCTTGGAGAATACCTCGATGAGGACGCCCTACACTGCTGGACGGACCTGCAACAATCCGGCACGGGCAAGACTGATTGGTCGCTAGTTAAACAGGAACTAGTAAAAAGATTCTGCACGGTAGATCTAGCAACACTCACCAAATGGCAGCTAGCAAATGGACTGCGGACTGCAGCACCTATCCTGCTAACTTCGGATGAATCTCGGTTCGGGGAGCCTAGCTGTCGGCAGAAGACTTAGTTGGTTACTTCTTAACGAATATACCAGCTGAGCTGAGATGGGCCGTTACACAGCGAGGTACGATAAAATTCAGTAATTGTGCATACAACGCATTAGCCGCTATCGCCGCCCCGTGGGGAGCCGCACAGGAGGAATTCCGTAGGCGGGAACGCGAATTCTAACATAGTCTGGCAGGAAGAGCAGCGGAGTTTCCACGTGAGCCAGTGTCTACTGGGATTAGACAGTACACCCAAGTATCGGGTGACCAAACAGAAATGGTTACCAGTGTAAAAGCAAGGGGCACACGGCTACGAATTGTCCAACCGGCGATCCGAAGTTGCGCAAGCCTGGCGCAACCTGTCGGAACTTCGGAGGCATGGGCCACTATGCACGCGAGTGTCGAACACCTGGTCGGATGAGGACAAGAGGGGGCAGGCATACTTATTCGACAACCGCACAGCAGACACAGCAGCAGCCTCAACGTTTAAAACGAGGGAGCCTAGACGTTGCTGTGTCACACACAACACAGCCTAAGGCTTTAAGCTGTGTGCACCCTGTGTGCACCACCGCAGGCTGCTGCTGCTGCTGCAGCAAGAAAGCAAACAGCAACACCGCTCCTGTTTGTTTTCCTAACCTGAAATCCGCTCCCCCCTGTGTAGCATGCGTTGCATCGAACAACTAATCCAAGCTGTTCAAATGCTGCTGCAGTTTCTGTTGCAGCTGCTGCTGTCATTGCTGTTGCAGCTGCTACTGACTGCCCTGTTACTTCAGTCCTACGACATGCCCTCCGTATCTCTGGCTTTGTACACCGCCCAATTTGAGCGCTCTTCCCCTCTATACCCTTGCCGCTGCTCGCAGGATTGCTGCTGTTGTTTAGAGTTCTCTGTTGCTCTTGCTGCTGCAGCTCCTGCTGCAGCACCTGCTGCGGGGACAGCAGCAGCAGGCCGCGCTATCTTGAAGCGGCCCCTAACGTCTCATAACCGAGACGCGAAGCCCCTGAGAGGCGTTTGGCTGCCTCTGAAACTGCCACTGCTGTTATTGTTGCTACTGCTGCAATACAAGCTGCAGCTGCAGCACCTGCTGCAGCAGGCTTTCAGGCCTGTATAGCCTCTTGTCTAGCCTGCGCGATGACGGAGTTAATAGCACTAAGTCCCTCCATCGCATTCGCTGCAGCATCACTAAACACCTTGGATCGTTCCTGCTGGACTGCAGCATCCGCTGCAGCAGCAGAAAGTTCTCTGAGAGCAGCTTTGAGGGTCTGCAGCAGCTGCCGCTGCCTCGCCTTGAGCCTCCCGTATGAATCCCTTAGTTTCGTGCCGAGCAGTTGCTGCTCTGCTGCATCTGTGTGCTCCCGCAGGTCAGCAAGTGCAAACTGCAGCATCGCCTCATCTGCTGCTGCTGAAGCAAACCCCGGAGCTGCTGCACGCAATGCATCTGCTACTGCAGCAGCAAGCTTCGCTGCTGAGCTGCTGCTGGCCGGCTGGTGCAGCACTTCCGCTGCTGAGCTCAAATCCTCTAAATTCAGGTGCTTTATGAACTTGCCAAATGCCTCCGCCGCTGCCTCGGCCTTCGGCGCCGCCGCCGCCGCAGCCGCCGCCGCAGCAGCAGCAGCAGCAGCGGCATCTTCGGCTAAACTAGCATCCTGCTCGGCTGGACGTTCCTCTTCAACTCCCTCCCCCTCTTCCTTTAGCTCCGCCTCTGGCCCCGCCTCCGTTTCTGTCCCCACCTTCTCCTGCGTCTTGGCCTCTGTCTCTGTCCTTGTCTCCATCTCTGATGCTGTCTCCGCATTGGCAGCAGTAGACGCGGCAGCAGCTGCTGCGCTAACTTCCGCCTGCAGAGACAAGGCCTCTCTCGCTGTTTTTAGGTATTTGCTGATGGCAACCAAGACCGCCTGCCGATGCCGCACCAGCGCCGGCTTTGATGCAGCAGCAGCCTCAGAAAGTTGCTTCAACTGCGACTGGTAGGCTGCTGCTTGACGCCGCAGCTCCTGCTGCCTGAGCACCAGTAAACCGTACACCAGCAGCTTCTGTCCCTTCCTAACGCTGCAAGAAGAACCCGCTCCTCCTGCTGCTGCTGCCTGCACAGCAGTTAACACCGTACGTGTCCCCTGTAGCAAACGTCCCACTTCTCCTCTCCCCTCCTTGCCTAGCAGCAGCTGCTGCACTCCTGCTTCCGCTGGTGGTGGTGGTGGCCGCGGTGTTGTTGTTGCTGTTGTTGCTGCTGCAGTTGAGTCTCCTGCTGGAGATGCTTCACCGGCCGGTGGCTCTGCAGCTTCTGCTCCGTCCTGAGCAATGTGTCCCGCTGCTGGTGTTGCAGCCGCTTTAGTTGTCGCTGATGGCGTTGCTGTTTCCGTCGCTTCTGTCTGCTGCTCTTGCGGTTGAATCTGTGCAGCAAGGGCAGTAGCTAGGCGTTGCAGCTCCATCTCAACAAAAACTCTAGAGGAGCCCCAAGTCCTTACGGAGCGAAGACGGAAGTCGACAGGATCTGAGAGTAGCCCCCAGTCGGCCCCGAAGTCCTGCTGCTGCAGCTGCTGCAGCTGCTGCAGTTCCTGCTGCTGACGACGGTTGTGCCGTTTCTGTTGTTGGTGTCGCTGTTGGTCTTGCTGCTGGTGCTCCTGCAGATCTGCATCAGTAGGAGGAGCAACAGCTGCGTGCAGCTGTTCGAGGGAATCTATGGATTGCTGCTGCTGGGCCAGCAGCGAAGCAAGTGTTGCTCCTTCTGCCTGCAGAGCAGCAGCAGCCTCCTGCAGCAGCCTTGTCTTCTCAGCAAGAGCATGGCCCTCCCTTTTGGCTGCAGCAATCTCTCTACGAGTTGCAGCAATTCGAGCATTCTTAGCTGCTGCAATGGGATTGGAAAGCGCAGAAGCCAGCAGAACAAGCAGCACGACGGCATAAATAACCTTCGGCGGGAGCGCCCGTTTAATTTCCTGCAAACCGGATATATTTGCAACTAAAGAACTCTCCGTTGGGGTGTATGGGTCTTCGTCATAATCCCACACTTCAAACAATAATTCCCAGTCTATGCTTTGGGGGCCTGGAAGGGGCCCCACAAGAATGCCTCGCTCTGGTGCAGGCGGCAGGCGAGGGACATCCTTCTTGTTAGTGCCACCAGGTCCAACTCCTCTTCCTGCTGCTTCATTCTTGCGCAGTTCGCCTGAAGAATACTCCTCATCGTCGTCCTGGACCTCGAAGCTGAAAACCTCGTGAAGTGTTCCGCCCTCTTCGTCTGCCCAGCGCACTGCCCATTCGCTTTCGCTATCTTCCTCATCTTCGTCATCTTCCTCCTCTTCTTCTGCTTCTTCCTCACCAAAGGCGCCACCCACTCTAAGACCTTCTCTTCCAGGGGATTCGGGCGGCGCTCTGCTGGGGGTAACGGGCTCATCCTCCACAGCAGCTGGACCAGCAGAAGCTGGACCAGAAGCAGCTGGGCCAGCACAAGCTGAACCCGAAGCAGCGGGACCAGCAGAAGCTGAACCCGCAGCAGCTGGACCAGTAGAAGCTGGACCAGCAGCAGCTGGACCAGCAGCAGGTGGACCAGCAACAGGTGGACTAGCTGGAAAAGCAGAGACACCAACAGTAACAGCGCCAACGGATGCAGTAAGCCGCTGCCCCGCAGCACCCGACTCGAGCTGCAACGGAGCAGCTACAGCAGAGTTACCCCCCCCAACGGTATCAGGCACAGCCTCCACCTCCACGTTACCTGCAGCATCAATGAGCCCTTCTCCTTCTGCCCAGGCAGAGACCAAAGGGTCTTCCTCAGAAGCCCCAACAAGAGCACCATCTGCTGCTGCTACCAACCAGCAACAAGTGAGGATCAAACCCAGCGAGAGCATGGGGCCCGGCAAGCCAGAGACAAACCCCATGGTCTTGAGGAGAACACGCATTAAACTACGCAAATGGCATCTTCAAAAAGAACACCAGCACTAGCGCCAGCAACAGTAGCACCTGTACCAGTGTAGAGGCCACCGCAACCCGAACAGGCAGAGCGCAGCCCAGGCCACGGAGGCTCCGGAGGCCCTCGAGAAGCTGACGGGAGGAACAAACAGACAAAATAAACCAGAAAAATCTTTCAATAAACAAACAAAACACCAACCAAATCGACGGAGGAGCCAACCTCGCAGGGGAAGAAGACGAGCAGCAGCCTCTCTAGCAGCAGCTGCAGCAGCCTATACATGAGCAGCAGCAGCAGGAGCGGGAGGCGGCTGCTGCTATGCCACTGCTCTAATGGATTGCTGCTGCTGCTTCTGGTGTCTGTTCCTTTGTCTGTTTTGTCGTGGGAAGGAGAGGAAACAGCTGAAACATTCCTTTTTGCCCGTACATTATTTACCTTCCTTCTACCGAGAAGCAGGAAAAGCAGCACCAACGGGGCTCCTCGTTGCTGCGGAGCCCTGTGGAGCAGAGCGGTTCTTGGCTTGGGCTTCGAGTGTACGTTCGCTCCACCCGGAGTTGCATTGTTATTTGTTTGTGGGTTTACTAGTTTCTTATTCTTTGCTGCTACTGCCCCCTGCCTCCTGGTATCCGCGTCCAATGAGCCCGCGGCTCTGCTGCTGCCGCAGCGGCTTCCAACGGTTGGTGTAGAGGAGGAGAGGGGGGCTTGCTGTCGGCTCTCTAAATTTGTTGCTGTTTCTGCCGCAGCAAAAGCTGCTTCTATTTGAGCTGTTGCTGGAGGAGCTTCCCGTGCTTTAGGAGCCACTGCAGGAGCTGCCGCTGGTGGAGCTGCTGCTGCTGCAGACGCAGCAGCTGCAGCAGCTGTGAGTGGTGGGGCTGGATATTGTCTGGGGTTTTGTGTAGAGTCGTTTCCTATGGCGTTGCTTGGTGTTCTTCCGAGGGCTCCCCGCTGCTCAGGTGTGTGGAGTTTGTGGGTGTTGTTTTCATTGAGTGGCTTGCTGCTGGGATCCTTGCTGCTGCTCGGTGGTGCTGCTGCTGCAGCAGAACCAGCAGCAAGTGGCAGCCATGCACGGGAGGCCTTTGAAAGTGAGCAAGACGGGGATGAGCTCACAATCTCCTCCGGAGGAACGCCAGGGGTGGAGCCTCTAAGCAGCCCTGCTGGACCCCCCCAAAGAGGCGGCGGGATGCGTACAGGGTTCGTATACTACGATGATGATAGTGTAGACGAAGAGGAAGGCAGCGAAACAGACGAAGATGTGGATGACTTGGTTGGTGCTGAGCTGCAGGCGGAGCAGGAGAAGGCGGCCGAAGATGCTGCTGGGGGGGAACAGGGCAGGCCTCAGCTGTCCATGCAGGTGGTGTTGTGGTGTATTTTGTCTGCTGCTGTCTATTTGATTATGCGAGGGGCATCTAGAGAGGATGAGAAACAAAAGAGCCTTGAGGTTCATAAGGTGTTGCTGGGTAATACTGTAAAGAAGCTCGAAGCAGACAGAGCAGCAGCAGCAGCACTAGAGACCCACATCCAGGCACTTACAGAAGAAAAAATAACACGAGAAGAACAGGTTGCTGCTGCTGAGAAGAAGCTGCAGACTCTGGTACGAGATCTCCAGGCAGCAGCAGCGGCAGGGGAAGAGGGGTTGCAGCAACAGCAAGAAAAAGAAGCGGAGGCCGCAGCAGCAACCATTGGGCTCCCCACACTAGAGAATACATGCAGAGAAGCGAGCAGAGAGCTGCAGCTACTGCTGCTACACCTGGGTGATGCATCATACACCGAAGAGGTGGCTCGACGCTCGCTGCAGCAGTTGCTGGCCGACAGGCAGCAGCTAGTGCAGGAGGAGAAACGTGACTCGCCTTCGGGACAGCGCATTCCTAAGGAGGGAGACTTCCTTGGTGCACTCAGCTGGTTGGAAGCCACAGCAACAGAATGGAACGTATACGGTTCTCGCGGGGACACCAAAGGTGGCAGAGAACGACCTGCTGCTGCTTCTGGGGAGGGTGGTGAGGAGGCGCGGCTGCGCGGTCGCGTGGTTTCGCTTCTTGGTGCTGCTGGGCTGATGCTGCAGCGATGGCAGCAGCTGGAGGGTGAGGCAGTAGCTGCTAGAGCTGCGCTGCAGCAACAGGAGGAGAAGGTGCATCAACAAGTAGCAGAGAGCAAGCAGAGAGCAGCAGCACTGCTGCAGGAGCTACGAGATTGCAGCAACTGGGCGAAACTGTGGTCCGAGCGTGTACGGAGTTCCTTGGGTGATGGAACAACTGCAGGCGAACGGTTTGCTGCTGTTACAGAGAGAGTAGCAACGACGCTGCAACACGTGGAGTTTGTATTTTCACACCGTGGCTGCACGTTGCAGCATCAAAAGGCCTCAGGCTCGCCGAAGTCTGCTGTTGCTGTTGCTGCTGCTACTGCTGCACCTGCCGTCGTTGCTGCTGCTGCCACCGCCGAAGGATCAGTGCCTGAGGGTCCAGGGGAAGTTGCAGAGGAGGTCCTGGTGCAGTTACACAGCGCATGCGGGGATGTTGTGGAAGAAGCAGCAGCTTTTAAGACAGCTGCTTCTGAGTCCGAGGAGAAGCAGAAGATTGTCGAAAAGGAGAAGCAAGACCTCCTCGATCGCGCCATGAGTATTATAGTTAAAATCGGCGCCTTTAGAGAGCAACAAATAGCTGCTGAAGCGGAGCAGCACATCTCTAGCATTACTGCTGCAGGTCTCTTAGAGAAACACAAACTCCTGCAGGCGCCGCTTGACCAGACCCGTGAGTGGTTTGCGAATCTCCAGCAAACCCTCAACAATATCAGCAGCAGCAACAGCTTGAGGAGTGCTTGATTGGTGATGTTTGTCCTCGCCTCTGCGGTGAAAACGGAGTTAACCATCTTCCAACAGGTCAACCACTTGAACACACATAGTTATGTTTCCTGCGACAGTAGCATTAGCTGCTGGTACGGGGAACGGCTGCACCTGCAGGAGCGGCAGCAACAACAGCTGTGGCTCGAGGAGCACTAGACCCTGATGAGGAGAGTCAGATGTTCTCCCCACACATCACTTGCTGCTGCAGCGGTGTTCCTGCCCCAGCAGTGTTCTGCTGCTGGCCGCTTTAGCAGTGTCGCTGGCCGCTGCAGCAGTGTTGCTGTATTGCTGCAAGTGCGGTGTTGCTGCTTTAGTAGCATTCCAGTCCTTTGTCTGTTGTATCTTTGGTAGACTGTAAACTCTTTGGCTCGACACACCGCTGCCTTCAAGTCAATGGTTATATATATATAT